CGGGACGCCAGCTGTATCGTCTCAACGTCAAAGTTGCAGCAGACGTAACGCGTTCGATGTGTAAGGTCCGTAGCCCTGGTAGCGGTCCAGAGTATTTGTCTGCTGAAACACATGGCCACGTGATGAGAAGCCAACTTCGTCGGGCTATCGTTTGTGATAGTCAGGTCGCTTCTGAACATGTCGCTCAGTGGGCCTTAATAGTTCTTAAACTGTAAAAAATAATATTTTTGGTTTTGTTTAAGAAATTTTAGTTTAAGGTGACGTGCCCGAGCGGTTCCTGCAGAGGTGCGCGGTTCGAGCCTGCCTGCCGCCCTAGTTAATCCTGCGGAGTGCATATTAACCACAACGATACTGGTCGCCTGCCTGCTGCACCCTGGACGTTATAGAGGCCCCGTGACCGCGAGGAGTTGGTCATTGTGTGCCGGCATCAATGACATTTTGAGAAGACATTTACACCGCAGATCACTCAATTAATGCACTGCACCATTGAAACCTCCTTTGCCAGTAGCAAAATATGATAATAGTTTTTTTTACCCTTTTATCTGGCAACAAAACTGACACCTTTTTTTGGCGTCATCTGGTCCAACACCACGTGCGACTAGGCTCTAAGGAAAGCTGTCTCGGGTGTGGACCAATCAATTTGAAGGACAGTGCCAATACATTATCAGAGTTCATAGTTAATTATTTATTAGTTTTTATAAGAGTTATGTTTTTTGTTTGCATTCCGACAGCAGGTATTGTGGTCAATGCAAACATTACTCCTTGTAAAAAATACAGGTGTCAGTTTTGTTGCCAGATAAAAGGGTAAAAAAACAATTATCATAATGCACTGATATTAAGACAACGATCGCCCTCTGCTGCGAAATACTTGGCAGGAGGTTCCTGTGAAAAAAAAAGTTTTGAGGCTCCGTGAAGCTGCCCTGTGCTGTGAAGGGCCATTGCACCGAAACGTCGCATATTACCGGGTCCAGGTACACGCATATTACATAAAGACAAAGAACCCCCGTATAGCCTTAACAGACTGTAGGGGCAAGTGCTGTTAGCGAGCGCCTATGAAGGCCGGAACGGTACACGAGGGGGTGGGTGGCCAGCACCACGGCTGGCCGCCTTTGTCTCCCCAGTGGCGATGTTTACACACCGCACACTCATTTGAGGCTGAGTCGACCTAAGGGAGGCCCAGGAACAGTTCAAGTAATCGTCACCGGTGTTGGCCGTGAGCGGGAATCGAACCCAGGTCGCCGGGTTTGTATACGCAGCGCGCTAACCGCTACACCACCGCTCCCCGCTACCAACCAGCGTCTCCCCCCCACCCTCCCCACAGCCCCCTCCCCACCAACCAGTGTCTCCCCCCCACCCTCCCCACAGCCCCCCCCCCGCACGAAGCCCCCTATCCCCAACATGAGAAGTCGGTGAAAGGCATGCCGTTAAGATGAGACTTACGTGTGAGATGTGTGTGCAGTGTGTGTGTGTGCAGTGTGTGTGTGTGCAGTGTGTGTGTGTGCAGTGTGTGTGCAGTGTGTGTGTGCAGTGCGTGTGCAGTGTGTGTGTGTGTGCAGTGCGTGTGTGTGTGCAGAGTGTGTGCAGTGTGTGTGTGCAGTGTGTCCGCAGTGTGTGTGTGTGTGCGCAGTGTGTGTGTGTGCAGTGTGTGCAGTGTGTGTGTGTGCAGTGTGTGTGTGTGTGCAGTGTGTGTGCAGTGTGTGTGTGTGCAGTGTGTGCAGTGTGTGTGTGCAGTGTGTCGGTGCAGTGTGTGCAGTGTGTGCGTGCAGTGTGTCCGCAGTGTGTGTGTGTGTGTGCAGTGTGTGTGCAGTGTGTGTGTGCAGTGTGTGCAGTGTGTCGGTGCAGTGTGTGTGTGCAGTGTGTGTCTGTGCAGTGTGTGTGCAGTGTGTGCAGTGTGTGTGACAGTGTGTGTAGTGTGTGTGTGTAGTGTGTGACAGTGTGTGTGACAGTGTGTGTAGTGTGTGTGTGCAGTGTGTGTGTAGTGTGTGTGCAGTGTGTGTGTGCAGTGTGTAAAAATGTCGACTCAGCGTGGTTGTAACCACACCCCCCCCCCCCCCTACGCGAGTAGCGAACATCTGTTCAGGCTTCCACGGCACACGAGGTAGTGGGCGGCAATAGCCACGCCCGGCCGCCTTTGTCTCCCCACTGCTGATGTTGTACACACCTCACCGGGTACTAATTTAAGGCTAAGTCGACCTGGGGGGGGGGGGGGGGAGTCCGGGAGCGGTTCGGACGATCGTCACCGGGGTTGCTCGCAAGCACGGAAGCGATCTCGTGTCGTGCAATGTGCTAACCACTGCGCCACCGCTCCCCCCCACTGCATTTGTACGCACACGCACTGAGGTCGAGATTCGCAATATTTGTACGGGACTCTGCGGTAATGCACGGGCCATTAGGGAGCGCGTGATGCCACCGTTAATGCGAAAATTAAGACCCTCCTAGAATTCACAATCCCGAGTAATGCAGCTCTCCCTTTCTGCCCGGGCACCCACGCGTCCGCCCCCCCCCCCCACTACTCAGCAACACAACCACCACCACCCACAACCACCACCACCCACAACCACCACCACCCACCACCACCCACAACCACCACCACCCACAACCACCACCACCATCATCCACAGCACACGCGCCGTCACCACAACCACAACCATCGTCATCCATAGCACACCACCACGATCGTAACCATAGCACACCACCACCACAACCATCGTCATCCATAGCACACGCACCCACCACCACCACAATCATCGTCATCCACACCACACACACCACCGACATCGTCCTGTGCAGGTAATGGAGAGAGATTAGCGGAGTGACCAGAAACAGAGGGACAGGAAAACACAGAGACAAAGCTACAGAGACACAGAGACAAAGCTACAAAGACACAGAGGCAAAGACAGAGACACGGGGACAAAGCCACGGAGACACAGAGACAAAGCCACGGAGACACGGAGGAAAAGACAGAGACACAGAGACAAAGCTACAGAGACACGGAGACAAAGACACAGAGACAAAGCCACGGAGACACAGAGACAGAGCCACGGAGACACGGAGACAAAGCCACGGAGACACAGAGACAAAGCCAGAGACACGGAGACAAAGTCACGGAGACACAGAGACAAAGCCAGAGACACGGAGACAAAGTCACGGAGACCGAGACAAAGCCACGGAGACACGGAGACAAAGACAGAGATAAAGCCACGGAGACACGGAGACAAAGCCACGGAGACACGGAGACAAAGCCACGGAGACAAAGCAACAGAGAGACACACGAGACAAAGACAGAGACAAAGCCACGAAGACACAGAGACAAAGACACAGAGACAAAGCCACGGAGACACAGAGACAAAGCTACAGAGACACGGAGACAAAGCCACGGAGACAAAGCCACAGAGACAGACAGAGACATGGAGACACGGAGACAAAGACACGGAGACACAGAGACGGAGACACGGAGACAAAGCAACAGAGAGACACACACAACAAGGGTGGAGGAGCATCTCAACATCACAGTTACATCAGAAACAACTCACTCGCGTGTAGACCACATCCCTGATATCGGCAATGCTGTTCGAGCGCTGTCGCTTGTGGTGGTATCGGGCAGTGTGGGTGGCGAAAGAGTATATTTAGCGATGTATGTACTATGAAGAAGGATCCGTGCCCGAAACGTCACCTCTTCTGAGGACACGGTGTTGTTATTGACCAGTTTGTTGTTGTTGACTGTGATTCTGCACCACTGCCAACGCAGCAGCAGCAGCAGCAGCAGTCACAGCGGCAGTCACCCAATACTCTTGGACTGGTTCAATCACAAGGGAATTGGTTCTTTACCGAGGGTGAGAGCCACCCGGACGAGTGAGGGCAGAGCGGCCTCTAGCGGACACTCGCGGCACCTGAGGCCCAAACCCCAAACGATTTCTCCGCTCTCCTGCCGCGTGAGATGCACCCCAGAACCCGCTCGCTCGTTGGGAGCATTTAAGAGGAACGAGCAGGGAGGGGTACCCGTGGCTCTGCAACGGAACACGAGAGACGGCTGTCGTTGTTGGTAACCAGTGCCGGATTAAAATAGTGCGGGGCCTGTAGCGTATGTTATAAAGGGACCCTAAATAAATAAACACATTAATATTAAAACACATAAATGTTTAACTTGCATAGTAAAGTAATTGTTTGAATTTGCTACACAGCCAGATAATACGACAATTCGCTAACTTTAAACACCCAGTCGTTCATAAAAGTTGAAGGCGGTATAGTACTATAGTATTAGAGCAAGTGCAGAATCACTGAACCGGTATTGATAGCTTGAAAGCATTTAGCGCGGGGCCCTTGAAAGTGCGGGTAGTAGTTACTACACGTGTAGCTACTACTACACTACACGTGTAGTAGCTACTACTCTACACGTGTAGTAGCTACTACTACACGTGTAGTAGTAGCTACTACACGTGTAGTTGTAGCTACTTGTGCTACGAGGATAATCCGGCGAGGAGCCCGGTCAGTAGCCAGCCAGCAAACTCGAGGCGTATATGTTTGAATGAGAAGTTATGATCGATCAGCGTCTGAAACGACAGGACTCTTGTAAACAAGACGTCTTGAGAGTCATGGTGGCTTTCCCAGATAAGGGGCATTATCCTTACTCCTGCCTGCGTCTTACAAAGACAAAGATCCCCCGTATAGCCTCTAATATACTGTTGGGGCAAGTGCTGTTAGCGAGCACACGTCGACACGGCACACGAGGGCAGTGCGTGGCCAACACCACGCCCGGCCGCCTTTGTCTCCCCAGTGGCGATGTTTACACACCGCACCAGGTAACCATTTGAGGCTGAGTCGACCTAGGGGAGGCCCAGTACCGGTTCAGATAATCGTCACCGGTGTTGGCCGTGGGCGGAAGGAAATCCAACTCGGGTGGCCAGGTTCGTAGCGCAGCGCGCTAACCGCTACACCACCGCTCCAAAACACAATATAGAAAATTGCCAAGAGCACACACACAAACACACTCGCTCGATAACTAACAGAGCACGCACCCATTTATTACGGCGATCACGTTATTATGGATAATACATCCGATCACACTATTGTTAATATAACAATACACAGGACGAGGCGAGGTATAGTGGGTGGGTGGATATGTGTGGGTGGGTGGGGGGGGGTCACATTGTCTTAGCGACGAGCGGAGCCGATTTCATCAAAACAAACACGGAGAGAGGGGTTGTTTCAGCGCAGGCGATAGCTTCACGTACGGTACTTATCTTCACAATACAGTCTATAAAGAGATTATACTCCCTGGCGGCATACTGCGCGGACGTGAACACACTCTGGATGGATTAACGCGTGGGTGATCGCAGCCAAGACTATATATATGATTCATAACGATCTGCATTCTATTGATCTGCGAAGCGGCGAAATGTTGCGCACCTTGAACAGCACTTATTTTAGTAACTTAACACCACTTCCAGGGACAAAGACCCCCCCCAACCCAACCCCGTATAGACTTGCCGGAACAAGTGCCGTTGACGGACACTTTATGACAAAGGTCCCCCGTATAGCCGTGCAGACTGATGGGGCAAGTGCTGTCATAGTGAGCAACCTACTGAAGCTGGGCCGCCCATCTCCCCAGTTCTGATGTTTTACACACACACAGACACACATCTCATCGGTACTTATTTAAGGTCGACCCAACCTAGGGGAGGCCCAGGACCGGTGCATATATTCACCGTCACCGTTAGTGGGAAAAAAAGGCGGACATACCCACACTTTACCCCACCACGCGACGCCAAACTTGTGGTGTTGCCCATCTACACTGCTGGGCGGTCAGAGGCCGGCAAAGTGGGGGTGGATTTAAGAAACGTGGCGACCCGTTCAAGTGCCGCGCCGAGAGATCGGACCGGCGCCCTTTGGGGTTGCAAGTCGCGACACGTTGCTACTGTTAATTAGCCGCTTACATTCACGTCGCGGCCACGATAGAAGTTGTTGTTCTTACACTGGGAGCTGCTCGCCACTACAAACTCGTAACCGCTACAAACACGCCGAGGCTGTCTGCTGTCGTCCTCATCGTCTGTGACACGTGAGACAATGCGTAACAGGTGTTACAGGCTGCCGTGCGGGGCGACTGTACGGGTGGCACAGGGTGGGGCATCGCGGAAACATCGATCGCGTCCACCTTTGCCAAACTACACCACCACCAACCCGTGCACCGACCGGCGTGGTGGTGAAATATGGTTCACCCACTCCCCTCCACCGTGCCACTTTGGGGGGGGGGGGGGACGTCCTCATCCAGCAGTGGACTTACAAAGGGCAGGAGAGTTTTGTTTATTTAATTATGTGGTTCACGTCACCCCCCCCCACCTCCCAAATTCGAATTGCGTGAAAAGTCGCAGTAAGAAGTCCCATAACCACCCCTCCCCCCACCTCCCGTGTTCAGAGAATAAACCGCGGAAGCAGCTATCACAGAACTACTTTTGAGAGCCATTCGGAGTGACCTCTCTCATCCACACTCTGGAGGGATGCTGCATTGTCCCGCGTGAAAAGAGATAAATGTTCCCTTGCCCGACACTGAAACCGAGATATGTTGTGGAACATTCTCATCCGCAATGGATGTTTTTGTTTTCATGTTTTAAGTGGAAATCAGATTTTAAACGCGATGGCTTTTCGATGTTCGCAGTCTTTGGTTACCCGGGCCTAAACCATAAACTCGCCACCCCTTGAGAATCTGGTTTCAATCGAGGGCGGCTGAAAAGACTGGGATCGAACCCAGGGTCTCAGCGGTGCCGGGCTCAGTGCCTCTGACCGCTGTGATTAGTCCATCGCTATTGCACGTTCTGATGGTCACAACCTGCCAACCACCAATCTCCCTCCCCCCCCGCTCTATGTACGTTGAACTTCTTTCGCACCGTACGTATCCAACCGTTAGAAGTAGGGGTACGGTTAATGGATGAGGATAAGTAATCGTTTGTCACATCACCGAATGCACTCATTAAACTTGCATGCAACCTCCATTGCCGAACAGTGGCCAGGAACTTAAGAGTGATAGTCGTCAACGCACCAAAATAAACACAGAAGATAACGTCTTGATAAGAAAAACAGGGGGCACCAGGGACCACACAGGTGTTCTACTCCACGGAGGTCTCGTACCCTGGTATCTAAAACCAGACAGGGCGTCGCACGTTTTGCAAAAAAATAAACAAAATAACAAAACATGAAAGTAAAGATATGATAAAACTTTATATATATAATTTATGACAAGTCCTAAAACCACGACGACAATGTTAAATCAGCAAATAAAACATGAGATCTCCCCCTCCCCCACCGCCCACCCTCTGCATTTACAGCGGAACAGCGACAATTGATGGGGGTCGTGGGGGTGTGGGGGTAGGAGGGTGTAGGGGGGTGTGGGGGTAGGGTTCCAGGCGTGGACTCCTGGGACCACCGCGAAAATCCCCAGTGGGTGAAATCTTCACCTTCACCTTCTTCCTCCGTATGGCCGACGATGTTGATGCAGCGCAACAACAACAACATCAATTTTACATTCGAGCCGGCGAAGCCAGATAATCAAGAGCAGCAGCGGAGATGTCTCGCCGCGATGCCTCCTTCGTATTTGCGGATGGGGGCATTGCGGTGTTGTGAGTTCTCTGTCTTGGATGACCAGAGTCGCACACTGCTGGTGGGTTTTTAAGTTTCCATTACCTGTGCATCCGGTGTATCCCCATCTACTGCCATGGTTTGTGCGGTGGATGCGGTTTGGGGCGGACCATGAGCTTCGTGGAAGGCCAAGCCCAGGGAAATGAGAAGACAAGAATACACGACTGTGGATAATACAACCGACTGGCACCACCGCAAAACCTTCCGACTTAATACTCCATGGGTGTAGGTGGCATTACGGAGGGCAAGGGGTGGCCACAGAGTAATTGGCTGCAACTGCGATGATGATAAGCAACTTCACTGAGCCATCATTTATAGCCAGGTCGCTTCTGAAAGAGCTATAGAGCTCAGTGGATCTTACCTGGTAGGATAAAAACGTAGTTTTTTAGGCCCGCACAGTCCGAATTCCAACCCCCCCCCCCTCACTCAAAATAAAAATATATAATAAAAAACACTTTGAACAGGGATTGTAAGCCTCGCTTGATACTTGTGAGCCAAGCTGCAGGAAACGTGCCTGGTGCCGTGCTGGGTATCCCCAGGTTCTCGGCGGGTTCCTCCCCATGCGAAGCCAGATTCTCACCAGCGGAAGTGACGCTGAACGTCCACAATGTAGCAGGGACCCTCCTGACGATACTGAAGAGTCCGTTTCTGAATGTGCAGGAAAAAAACCGGAGGCCCCAGAGAAAAATCCGCACGACCACGGCGAGAGAGAACTCCAAATATACAGCAGGTGTCAGGGTCGGGATCGAACCCACGCACGACCTCCTGCATACCAGGCGAGGTAGTTAACATCTCGCCACCGTGGCCTGCATCTTTACCTAAACATTTACAACAGAGTTCTAGTTAAACTATATACACAATTTGATTCCCCCCCCCCCCCCCCCCACAATCTTTATATATTAAAAAAAAAAGTATCTCCCTGTGTGATTGTGAGAACCACGACTCGTATTAGTCCACAGCCTGCCCAGGGTACTGTAGTGAGCATGCCACGTGACGTTCATTCTCTCATCGCTCACAGGCGGGGGGGTGGGGGCTTGAGAATTGCTCGCCCTGACGTTCAAACAACATTTACAACTTTCTACAAAGGGAATAAATCGTTGGGTATTTTTGTGAATGTTGTTTAAAATGTCTCTCCAGCTAACCTCCCCCCCCCCCACACCCCGCCAGGGAGAACGAGCGAGCGAGCAAGTCGAGAGTAGCGAGGTAGTCCGGGTGTGCGTGTGCGCATCGGCTGGGCTCGGGCCAAGCAGGTGGAACAACGATTGAATCGATCCGTATGTAAATGCCTTGTACCTGAGTCCAAGCCACTGCCCACTGGTACAATGGTTAGTTATCCTCAAACCACCCGAATGTGAAATCGTAGTTGTTGCACCGCATCTACATCGGCCATACGAAAGAAGAAGAGGAAGTTTACTCTTAACATTCAGCGGCCCGAAGGTAATTGCCGAACGTTTATATAAACATTAGACCAGTCGGCGGTGGACTGCATGGAACGTCGTGTAACGAGGCAATCGATTTTCAGCTCACGAAACACGCATCGAATCGCGTGGGGTTAATAGCCTTCGGTTTTTCATTGTTTTCTGCCCCGCCCATAATGTTTAAAATAATAAAAATGAAACTTGAAATGTGCACAATATTTCACAGACGCCGCATGTAACTGATCGTGACTCTTGAGGTGTGGAGCCACACTTAGGGACTTGGGGTTGCACAAAAGCCAGGCGGAATAATTGTGGAGTGGTTAAGAAACAGGGCTGGGGGAGAAAGGTCTTTTGAGTGTCTCTTTAAAAGTTGAGGGTAGATATTGAAACGTTGCTCCGAATGTGGCGCCCCTACCACCCCTCATCCTACCACCCCGATGAGGGGTGGTAGGATGAGGGGTGGTAGTCGTGGGAGGTCATGCGCGGCAGAGGGCAGTGCAGCGGTCAGTGGCTGTGTCATTGTGTGACTGCACACGCCACTGCCGACGGATAGGGCCTCTGTGCGACTGACCGGCGCTCTGCGTACAATGCCGATTCGGCGACCCGCCACGACTTGTTAACCCGGCACCTCTCCTCTCAAGCCCCGTCCACTTCTACGCTGACCCCCCCCCCACCCCGCACCGGCTCTTCAAGCCCCACTGACAAGTGTAGTGAAGTATGGTCACGTGCCCCTCGGGGACGTCCGCCGTTTGTATTTAAAATCAACGATGTTGGGGGTGACACGCAAGATGTTGGCCTGCATGCGTGTTGGTATCCGGTAGGTGTTATTCTGTGTGTGTGGGTGGGCAGATATGTATAACTCTATCCACACCAGGTGCAGGTTTTTGGGGCGTGTGTCGCACAATACGGTCAACCCCCTCACAACCCGCACAGTGTCTGGAGGCCCTCGTCCAGAAGTGGATCGACAAAAGGGCTGTACGCGTGTTAAGGCGTACATGCAAGCTCCCAGGTAAGCCGAGTTGCGCGCTAGGAGCTCACTTGCAACATGAGCGCTCCACCGCCCTGCACAGCAGCTCATTATTACAACCACAGCATCAACCGTATGTATGAATGTTCAACAGTATGCCTGAACTTACTTCGCACCGTACGTAGCCAACCGTTGCTCAACGGAGGTGAGGGAGGACAACAAACCAAACCACCAATGTTTAGCCGCATAGCGGGCCCACCCACACCACACGCACCACCGCCAATTCACCTTCCCGAACTAGCGTTCAGAGTTTACTCTCCTTATTTTTTTTGGGTAAAGTGTAGATTTGGCCTAAAAAATAAAACACACACACGCAGCCGCAGCTCTTATCTTGTAGCCACCCCACACCCAGGCTGCGTTGATTATTTGAATTCATTAAAACGTAGGGGCTGTGGCGAAAAACACATCTGACATCCTGGGGTTCGGTTCCTGGACCCAGCTAACGACAGCGGCGAGAGGCGATATCCGGTCTCGTTACGGGCCTCTCTCGAGATTGTCTCGGTCTTTACAAGAGCACCGGGTTCAGTGTGTAAACAATAGACACTGGGGGAGAAACCTGTGGCAGGGCAGCGCGGTACACGCAGCCCGGTTAGGTGTCATACCTACCTAGGGGGCCTTACTTGGTAAAATAATAATATTTCGATTTAAAGCTTTCGTGACTGCAGGGATTCATCTTCTTGGTTCTTTCGGATAAAGTCACCACGTAGAATGGAAATAAAATAATAAAAATAAAACATTACTTTACCGAAAGAACCAAGAAGAAAAATAGCAATAGTTGAATAGTTGTATACACAGGACAAAGAATGACCGTATTCTTTGGATTATAAGGCACACGAACTCCCCCCCACATCCCTGTATATTAAAGCAAAGTTGGGGGTAGCTGTGTGCGTTTGTGTGCTCGAGACCATATTTGTAGAACTTTATTGCCAATGGGCAGAAGTTTGAGGGGCCATCTTACTTTCTGAAGCGTCTTATGTATGTATGTATGCTGAACTTATTTTGCACCGTACGTAGCAGAACGTGCTTATAATCTAGAGAATACGGTCTTAAGTCATTTTTTTCCTTTTGGGCTGAGCTTTTCTTAAAAACTAAAAATGTCCCATGGTAGACTCAAGATAATTACAGCGGGGCCCACCGACTCCACTTACAGTTATAATCGGCTGCTTTTTTTCGACCCCGAAATTTGGCCCCCGAAGGTGGGAAACACCCCCCCCCCCCCCCCCCCCACTGACTAGCCACGACCCGGCTGACTACGGCCACTGAGCCAAGCCATGCACTGCACCTCCCGTCCAGCGACACATGTCGGGGTGGGGGATGGTTTGGGGCGAAGGGCAAAGTTGAGACTTTTTTCCCCAAACCCCTCCCCCCTGATAAATATTTAGTGCGCTATTCGACTGAGTCGAGTGAACAACCGAACCGCCAGATTCGGTCACCGTAATCGATCACTCAACTAAGATCGGCACAGCCCGGCTCCTTCAAGCCGACCCCCGGCGTTGACCCCGGCACGCGGAGGGGGTCCGGGTTGGCGATGACCGCGGGGGCTAGGGGGCGCTCAGTACCCCTGCAGCTCTGGCAGGTTGCGGTAGAGCTCCAAGGCCCCGGGGTTCGACAACGAACCCAGCTGCACCACCTCCTTGCCGGCGATGACCTGCTTTACCGCCACCTCCACCTTCTTGCCGTTGATGGTGTACTGCACGGGGAGAGACAGAGAGAGATAGGGAGGGAGAGGGAGAGAGAGGGTAAAGAGAGCAGGAGCGCACATACGTACTTACATCATCACCATCACTATTAGCAGCAGCAGCAGCAGCAGACGTGATATATATTTTACAAATTTTTATTGTACGCTCGGCACAAGCGCCGTGGTGTTGTCGCCGCCACTCGGTGGCGAAATTCCGGTTTTGATTCTCGTTGTTGTGTGTGTGTGGGGGGTCGGTGGTGTAGCGGTTGGCGCTGCGCTGCGCTACGAACCCGGCGACCCGAGTTCGATTCCCCGCTCACGGCCACCAAACACCATTGACGATTATCTGAACTGGTCCTGGGTCTCCCCTAGGTCGATTCAGCCTCAAACGAGTACTTGGTGCGATGTGTAAACATCACCAATAGGGGGACAAAGGTGGGCCGGCCGTGGTGCTGGCCACCCACCCCCCGGTGCGCCGTGCCGGCCTCCAGAATTAGAATACGTATTTATACTGGAGGAATCCGATGAGCTATGAAGCTCTTTTTCACAGACGTCTCCAGTAGGCGTTGGTCAGAACGTTACAACAACAAACGATACGCGAGGCGCTCGCTAACAGCTCTCGCCCCACCCAGCAGCCTGTTGAAGGCTATACGGGGTGGGTGGGGTGGGGTGGGTGGGTGGGGACCTCGGACCTTTGATGCTCTGTGCGTGGCGTGGTTACCGGGATGTCCTTGGTCTCCAGGATGAGCGCCGGCACGTGGCGCGCCGACAGCGCGGTGCGGATGGCGTCGCGGAGTCGCTTGTCCAGCTCCTGCGTGAGGCCGCGGCCCGGCGCCATCTTGAGGAAGAGCACGACGCGCTCGTCGCCCCCGCTGCCGTACTGCGGCACGCAGACGCTGTCCGCCACCTCCTCAAACGCCTCCACTGGCGCGGCAAAGCGAACGCGGCAAGCGAGCACCACCGCCGGGCAGGGTCAGCATCGGCCGCGGCCACCGTTCGTGGCCGTCAAAGTCACCGCCGTTAGCCGCCACCGCCGTCAGCCGCCACCGCCACCGCCGTCATGATCAATCGTCGGCGCCATTACTACCGTCGCCGTCGTCGCCGCTATTGCCGTCACCGCTGCCGTCATCACCATCATCAACTGACACCGCTGTCGCACAACCATCACCGTTACCCACCGCCGTTACGACCATCTGCATCGTCGCTATGACTATCGTCGTCATCGCCGTCGTCGCCAGCGCCACCAGCGTCACCGCCGTCGTCGCGGCTCTCCTGCGAGTTGCGTTGCCGCTCCTCCAGGTGGCCCGTCAAGTGAGGGAGCAGCGCGACGTGGGGGATACCGGGCGTGCAAACCAGCAAGTGGGCAAGCGACCCGCACGTGGGCGCGCCATAAGTGCGGGGTGCGGAGCGAGCGCCGTGTTTGGGAAACCGCCACCAACCTATGTTGTAGATCTCCGAGCTTCCGAAGCGAACTCCGTTTGGGTTCAGGGTTCCGTCACTGGGAGAGAAAATAAAAAGAGCGGCGTCGATGGCGAACGCACAGCCCCGCAGAATGCTCCACTCTCGACTCTCCCCTCCACGCACTCTCCTACCTCTACCCTCTTAACGAAACGGGGGGGGGGGCAGAGTGCCCCCCCCCCCTCCCCCCGCCCGCCGTGTGTGCTCTCTCACCTCCGGCCAAGCATGATGATGCCCCCCGTTTTGGGGTTGATCTTGCAGTAGTCTCCATGGGCCCAGATCCCTGCAGAGGGAACACCACATCACCGTCGTCATCAGCCATGCCTGATCCGCTGCTGGATGACGGCCTCTCCGAGCCGTTGCCATCTCTCACAGTCTTGCGATGCTGCATATTGTTCACTGCCTCGAATGATATTTCTTTGTAGAACTAACAAGAGTATGATTTTAACAGAACCTATTACGGAGTGGGGTGGGGGTGGGGAGCGGTGGTGCAGCGGTTAGCGCACTGCGCGAAGAACCCGGCGATATCAGTGGCAAGTGATGTCTGAACAGGTCCTGGGCCCCCTCTTCATGAACCAGCACTGACCAGCATGGTGAAGTATGGTCAAACCCCCCCCCACCCCCCCATGACTGATACGGCATGTGGAGGCCTTCATCTAACACTGGACTAAGGGTTCTATGCTATTATTCAAATATAATAATACGGGAAAATACATATCTTTATATATAATGGAGTTATGACCAGTGCTGTTATAGAGTGCACACATCTCTCTGCACCGAGGAAGGAACAGAGAAGAGAGAGGTTTAAACAACAGAAATGAGAATGCTGGGAATATCTCTATGAGAAAGGAGGAGGAATGATGAAGTTAGAGCCTTGGGTTATTAACATATATACCTGAGAAGGTAAGGGACATTAGACTGATATGGTCTGGGACATGTTATGAGAAGAGACAAAGGTGATGCATTTAGAAGGGCTATAGAGACCCACAGACTCACAGAGGAACCCACAGACTCGCCGAGACCTACTATATAGACTCAGATAGAAACCAAAGACTCGCACATAAACTCATAGACTCACAGAGGAAGCCACAAAGACTCGCACAGAGACCTATAGACTCGCACAGAGACCTATAGACTCACACAGAGACCACCCGCAGATGAGCGGGGCCATGGAGATGCCACCGGTGCAGGGCACACTGAGGGGAAGGGAGACGAGGGTGAGGTGGGAGGATGCGGTGGAGCGAGGTATGAGGACGGTGGATGTGACCGCAGACGAGACACGGAATGGAAGCTCACAGAGAGAGAAAACCCGAGCAGCCGTCCCTGACTTTTGGCTTCAAAACAATAAAAACATTAAATTTTGATTTAAAGCTTTCATGACTGCAGTAATTCATATTCTTAGCTCTTTCGGTAAAGTCACGTTGAAGGGAAACAATAAAATAATAAAATATATATAAAACAATAAAAATTCTCACGACGTTTCGACCATAACACAAACGGTCGTCATCAGGTGTGTCGGTTTGCATTGTCGGTTTGCATTGACACACCTGATGACGACCGTTTGTGTTATGGTCGAAACGTCGTGAGAATTTTTATTGTTCAATATTTTCATTATTATTTTATTATTTTATTGTTTCCCTTCAACGTGACTTTACCGAAAGAGCTAAGAATAAAAACATCGTTATAATCACGGGGAAGGGGAGGGGGCGTGGTGGCAGGTGTTTGGCAATTCCCAGCACGACTCTTAATATCTGTGTGTGCTGTGCTCCCGGGGCACGGAGTTTCAGTTTCGCCGCTCCGTGCCGTGCGATTGGGGCGGACGCCGGTCGCCAGGGCTCCTCACCGGGGAATTTGGCGAAGTAGGCCTTGTGGTACTTCTTGTTGTCTGGGTCGTTCCAGAAGTGCGTGGGCTGGCACGGGATGGGCTTGGTACACACCAGCTCGCCGCTCTGCCCAAACACCTGCTCGCCTGCCGGCACAAAACGACGACCCGCGACGCGATCCGTCAACCCCGCAGCGCGCGAGTGGGTGAGGCGATGGCAGTACAGCAATGGATTGTTGAATCTATCTGCGTGGAGTTTTTGAATGTCGCTCCCTCGTGTGTACGGTGTGCTGGCTTTTTCTCCAGGTTCTCCGTATGCCTCCCACACGAAGCCAAATGCTCAGGAATGGAATCGAACCCGGAGCATCTACGCGTGCGGCAAAACGAGTCTTGAGACTCAAGTGAGGTTATTTTTTTTATCCTGGGTACACACAGGGGTAGAACTGTCGTTGATATTTATGGCACCACTTTTGAGACGCCATCACATTTAGACTCTACGGATCCGAACTCTTTGTAATTTTATCGCTGGAATATTTTCACCGGAAACCACCGCGGCGTGGGCGCTCCAAAGCGCCAGCTGTTTAGCGAAGCGCAAACGGGGCCTGTGAAGTAATCCTGGCAGCTAGCACAGTCGGGGCCCTTTCATATTCAGACGAGATTCTCAAGACTAGATTTACAATTCCAGAAGGGTTTCAATTGACAAGTGCCTTACGTCGGAAGTGTTTAACTTTTTTTTTCGATGTTTTAGAAATAACTTCGCTTCCGAGTCGAGCAGTAATTTATTTAGGAAAGCACTCTGCCGGCGAGATTTTGTTTCCCGTTCGCCGTCCAAACCTCGCGTGGAACGGCAACTTCAGAGAGACTGACAGCTGAATTCTCCCAGTGGAGATGTTTCATCTCGGAGTGAACATCGAAAAACTAAGCCCGACCCGCATGAAACCCACAACGCACAGCGACCCGCGGCCGTCAATTACATCATATCGCTGATTAATTATTTTCTTTAGTTTGCTAGGAGTTAAAACTGATTACGTTGTCACGGTTGCACTGCGTAGCTCTCGATGTCTCTTCACGTTGCACCGTGTGTTGTTGTTGTTGTTGTTCGGCGTGGTGCCTGACACCGTCGTTCAGCAATGGCGTCCAACGTTTCACTCCACGATAGAACAGAGGGAGAAACCAGCTGCTCAACCGAGTCCAGGGACTGGCAAATCAGGTCGATACGCCGTGAGGACGTGGCATCACCGCGTCGCCGACGTGCGCCTCGACCCGTTCGTCGCGCGTGACGTCGGTTTGCTTTGAGGCCGCAGCATCATCGCGTCACCCACGCGTGACCCCCGCCAGTTCGCCGCGTGCCATGTCAGAGCACCGTGAGGACGCGGCGTCGCCACTCCGCCCACGCCCGTCGCCACCCGTTCACCGCGTTCGCCCCCGCGCGGCGTCAGCGGTCACGGCTCGGCTTTTGCAGCGGGGAAAAGAAAAATCGACCAGGACCTCCGGAGCTGCCGCCAGTCTGGCCGGACTCGGCACGGCTCCGTCGCGCGGTGGAGAAAAAAGGATAGTGGAGCCGCGTTGCCGAGGCGGCAGAGAAAAGACGCCGGGACTGACCTTGCTCGTTCCAGCTCTGCACGGGCATGCCGAGGTGGCACGCCTGGATTTCCCCACGGTGCACGGGGAGCGTCACATTCTGCCCCATGAAGCACGAGATGATGTCGGTGCCTCCTGCGCGTGGCGAGAGAGAGAGAGAGACGCGTCACGCGATGGTAGGGTAGGGTGCGCGCCACCTCCGTGCGGCGCCAGACGCTGTCGGTGTTACGACCCGTGGTGAAGGCACGCGACGTTACAAACGCTCGCCAGCTCTGCTGCTGGTGGAAGGGTCTCTTGAGAGCCCCCTTACAGAGGGCATTTGTGGCCTACGCTTCCATGCTGGCCAACGTAGCAGGAGTAGCAGCGGCATCCCCGAATTAAAAATAAAAAAAAACTTATTTGGTCAGATTAGGTGACCCAGCCTGAAAATCAATTATCAAACAAAGACTCGCATTCGATTTTTTAAAGAAAATGGCCCTTCGTCAGAGCACGTAAATAGCGAGGCCAGTTGAGAGAGAGAGAGTAGAAAACAAAGAGTTAGACACTGCACTTAGCACCCACGGGTCCTCATGAGAATTAGAAAAAAATCTAACTGCGATCAAAATGTTGGCTACAAGAGCCTACGAGTTGAACGAGCTCGTGCACACGTACAATGGTGGTGCGCTGCGGTGGGGGGGGGGGTGGCAGGGGCGGGGGGCTGGTGACACTCACCAGAGATGGAGCCGAGCAGCACGTCCCGCTTGATGTGCGTGTAGACGTAGTCATAGCTCTGTGGTTTGAGCGGCGAGCCCGTCGACAAGATGGTGTGCAGGCTCGCCAGGCTGTGCGTCTCCGCTGGTGGATGGCAACGATGTTGGCGATCAGTATCGGGCGGTAGGGTGCCGGCGCGGTGCTCACGCTTGCATCTCGAAGTAAAGAAAGGGCTGGGTTCCGTTCCTGATCCAGGGTACCTTTCTGTGAGGAGTTTTTTTTTATGTTCTGGCCCTCTTTCAGGGTCCAGGCTTTGCCGAATTGGAAAAATGACACCGCAAAAGATGCTCAATTGGGATCGTACATGGCAAAGGTTGACACTTAAACTAAGGAAATCCACGTCGCTGTATCTTCTGCACCAAAGTCTCCCGCTGGCCTAGATTTTTATTAAAATAACGATGATTCTATGTTTGACAGAGCGCCCTTTACAACGAGGCACTGCAGAGTGCTTTACACGAAATAAGAAATTTACATCGCATCTCTATTAAAACATTGAAAAGGGCACGCTCCCCAGTGGCAGCAGTGCCTTGTACTGCCATTAGCATTCGTCTGCCAGTAAGTGGGCAACCATTGCTGCTCCGTGTAATCCCAATCGAGTCATTCGCGGTGACATTTGTCGAGACGGTGACGGCGGCACACGATGGCCTGCTCACTCTGAATGTCACCGGGGGAATCTTTATCGCTGGCTGCCGAACAGACTTCACGTCGCAATATTTACGGGTCAATACACAACCTAAGCATTAACCTGGGCGGGCCTGCCGGATTTCAGCCGCGGAGCTCTGCAGCAAGCGTTGAACGCGCTGCGGCTGGGCCCCACCGCGCCACACCCCAACTTTCTCTCCGCTTTTACCGACCGACACGAAAAGTCTCGTCACAAACTGGGCGCCCGATAACGACGGTCGAGCCCCGACCCTTGCCGACGATTTTGCATGCAAAACGGCGACGCGCCGAACCGTCCGGGACTCGACAATAGACGCGTAAATATTTATTTTAAAAATCCAATTAACCGCGTGGCTTGCATTAACGGCGCCCCCCGCACTATCTCGCGCATAAATCGCCGCGGAAAGAACTTAAAAGTCAGCGCCGTGAATTAGCAATGACTGAAGCATGCTCGCAGGAACACGGGCACAGAGGAACTGCCAAGAAAATCATATCCCCTCTGTATAATGCAAATATATAGACGGTAATCACAGACGCGGTGGTTTGTTGCAGACTGCCGACTCAATTTAATCGTAAACCAATTTAACAACCGCCGAGATGTCCGGGATGAGATATGTGCAATTCAAGAAGATGAACATTACACAAATGTAAATCACTTTGTATCTAAAAACTAAATCGGAAGCAAAAAAATATAAATATTTTTGTTTGCGACGACCATTGTTTCCGCGGCGATCGGTGATGGTGCAAAAATTGGACATTGCGGCTCAGAGATCAAAAGGGCTCTCGCAGTTCCTGGAAAATGTGCAAAGTTGAAAGACGTCACGGGGGGGGGGGGCGGTGGCGGGGGGGTCAGGGGGGGCGGTCAGTCGTGGGGAGGGATGGGAGGTCGGAGGGAGGCTGCTTACCAGGCTTGAGACCTTTGTCCTCTAAAAGTGACAGCAGTTTGGCACCTGTGCCAAAAATGGTGATCCTGTTCCAGAAAACATAATACAATACACACACGTTTTCCATCACAAGCACAGAACAAACATCACGCGCGCATAACCTAACAATACGGCCAAGGGTGGGGGTCACGCAGCTCGTCAAACATAATCCTCTTAATATCCCGCTCGCTGTTTTTATTCCTTCTGGTCGTGCCTATTAATGGCAACCGGACGCAAACTGCTAATGTGGTCATTCGGCAAACAGACATTCTAAATGCGTAAAGTGTACAGAGAGGTGCCTGCTGAGACTGTGGACGCGGGCGGTCCGAGTTGGATTCCCGGCTAGGGAGAAGTGATATCGGAACCGACCCTAAGAACTCTGCTACCGATAACGTCTGGTCAGCTGGCTAGCGAGCAGCATTTGTTTAACAAGCCTGCCTGCTACCGAGACCCAAGCAGGTTGAAACCGGTCCACAGCTTGCTTGCTGATATAATTCTGGATACCATTTGCTCTCAGAGAGCTGACAGGCTGGTGGATTAGTACGATAAATATAATTTGGATTCACATCGCGAGTGCCAATGCTCACCCCAGCTTATCGATGAGGTCGAAGAGGATGGTGGGCGTGGGGATGAGAGGCGAGCCGTCGTACAGAACCACGCTGGCTCCCACCGCCAGCGACGTCACCAGCCAGTTCCACATCATCCACCCCGCCTGGGAATACGTAATGCACACTCGCACGCTCAACATGTGCGTTTTCGCCGGCCAGTGTTATGGAATTCCTAATCGATTTTTGGATTATGCCGTGGAATGTAATGATCTGGACAAATATTTGTCGTGAAGACCCTCTATCGCCCAAAACGGCCAAACAATTAAACTGTCACGTGGCGTACAAGCATTTTACATGCAAATTATTATTGTTCCAGCTCACACCAAATTTGGCAATTGGATACGCTATCTCACACATATGGTACACACTAACGCATGCACTCACATCGGGCAACAAAAATGACAATCCTTACTGGCTGTGTCGGGTGGTGGAGGGTTACAATACATTTTTTATTACGCGATCTAACCTAAAAACCTTGATTATGAACACAAACGCATTTGCACGCACGCACACACAAGGCACTCCAGACCCACCCTCCTCCCGTCCCTACAGCCCCTCCTAAGTGGAGCCCCACCATCAATTGGACACGTCGGCAGATGGCACTCCAGATTGCCACACTGGTGTGTGTGCGGGCGAGGTGCGTGGGGGGGGGGCGAGAATGGGGGAGGTGGGGAGCTCACCGTGGTGTAGTAGATGATGGTGTCATCACTGGACATGTCCCCGGCCAGGATGTGTTCCTGCAGGTGCTTGATGAGCGTTCCCTGCGTGACGGCAAGCTCGTTAGCGCCAGGCCATAACGCGCTCGTTAGCGCGTGGGTGCCAGGCCGTTATCCGGCGGCACCTGTGGCCGGACAGCTGTGCGCTGCTACCTCTGATGATCGGCGCCGACAATATAAACACCACGAACTGTGTTCGATTCCTGGCCCTGTGGCTGATAGTGGCGCGTGAGCAATGTCTGAAACAGGTCCTGGGCACTCAACACTCCTTCACCAACCAGACAACCTCAGTGACCAACGTGGAATGGGAAAACCTTGATCCAGCAGCGGGTTGGCAAGGGGCGGTTAATTGAATTCCGAATGCGCTAAATCGGCATTGTGTCTGGTTTACGGGGCCAGACACGATGCCGATTAGCGATGGTGCGTTCGTCAGCTCACGCGCATGCGCCAGGCTGGTGCCGGTGACACCTGCTTGGCTCAACAGCTGTGGCCGAATGGTGCTCGCTAACCATCTGCGGCGATCCAGAGGCCAGACGCGTTGGCCCATCCGGCCCTGCGGTTGCACGGGGCGAACGTAGCGATCGAGTGTGCGAGTGAAAAAGCGATGCGAGACTGAGCGAGCGAGCGAGCGAGCCAGCGAGGGAAATCAAGCGCGCAAGCGAGCGAGTGTTGGGCGAGAGAGTAAGTGACCAAAGCAAGTGACCCGGTGAGTTAGAACGTGAACGAGCGAACGAGCGGGCGAAGCCGGTGAGAATTTCATAAAAAAAACGAGCGATGGGACCGTGAGCGAGCTATTTGAGAGAACGAGCGAGGGGGCGAGCACACGAGCGAGCGAGCGAGCGAGCGCAGACGGGTGCGTCGCTCACCCCTGCGGAGTGCACCATGCACTTGGGCGCCCCCGTAGTGCCCGACGAGTACATGATGACGAGCGGGTGGTTGAACGGGAGCTGCTCGAACTCCAGCTGCGGCTCTGGGCCCCCGGCGGGGCGACCCAAGCCCAGGAACTCCTCCAGGAACATGCTGCACACACACGGGCGCAGGGGCGGGCACCGCTCGTTCGGTGGCAAGGCGGCGGCGACGGCGCAGTGGGGACACTCGCGCCGAGCAGTGAGGTGCGGCTGGGTTCGATTCTCAACTCGGGCGCTCTTTCTGCGTGGTCTTTGTATGTTCTCCCCCCAGTTCTGCAGAGTGTGAGTGAGTAGCTGTGTGGAGTTTGTATGTTCTCCCCCAGTTCTGTAGAGTGTGAATGAGTAGCTGTGTGGAGTTTGTATGTTCTCCCCCCAGTTCTGTAGAGTGTGAGTGAGTAGCTGTGTGGAGTTTGTATGTTCTCCCCCAGTTCTGCAGAGTGTGAGTGAGTAGCTGTGTGGAGTTTGTATGTTCTCCCCCCAGTTCTGTAGAGTGTGAGTGAGTAGCTGTGTGGAGTTTGTATGTTCTCCCCCCAGTTCTGCCGAGTGTGAGTGAGTAGCTGTGTGGAGTTTGTATGTTCTCCCCCAGTTCTGCAGAGTGTGAGTGAGTAGCTGTGTGGAGTTTGTATGTTCTCCCCCCAGTTCTGTAGAGTGTGAGTGAGTAGCTGTGTGGAGTTTGTATGTTCTCCCCCCAGTTCTGCCGAGTGTGAGTGAGTAGCTGTGTGGAGTTTGTATGTTCTCCCCCAGTTCTGCAGAGTGTGAGTGAGTAGCTGTGTGGAGTTTGTATGTTCTCCCCCAGTTCTGTAGAGTGTGAGTGAGTAGCTGTGTGGAGTTTGTATGTTCTCCCTCAGTTCTGCAGAGTGTGATAGTGAGTGAGGGTGAGTAACTGTGTGGCGTTTGTATATTCTCTCTCTCCCGGTTCTGCATGAGCTTTTTTCCGGATTCTCGGATTTCCTCCCATACCATGGAACTGGCATTGGCCAAAACATCTCAAAGCTGAAAGATTACAAGCAAATGACAGTGCTAAAATTGGGATTACACACATCAATACCTCACCCAGTGATTAAACATCACCACTGGGGATACAAAGGTGGTCTGTTGTGGTGCTGGACTCCCACCCCATCATGTGCTCGCTAACAGCACTTGTCCCAAGAGTCTATTAAAGGCTATACGGGGGCATCAATCTCTGTTTTTGAATATCGGGGCATATTTTCTGCCCTGAAGTCCCAGCGGCATAGATACATAAATCGAGCCCTGCAGAACCCACCGCAATTGTAAGGAATAAAAAAAATCATTAATTCTTGAATAGAATTATGAGCCTCTGCATGGCAACAATTCAGCCGCTGGGGTGGGGGCGGGGTTGCTGGGGGGGGTTGGTGAAGCGGAGGAGGATGGGGTCGGGGGGCTGTGTCGTTACACGGCTAAACATTCCGTGCGCGCAACGGCGGAGTCTCCTTGCAGGAGCTCGGGGCCGCGCGACGCTGCCGTATTGACTACGGATGTCGGAGCTGCAAACCGCTGGCGTGGATCAATACGAAGAAGTGCGCCCCCCCCCCCCCCCCCCCACACACCCTGTCCATTAACTCGGAGCGCCGCTCTCCAGAGCGCCGTGCATCTCAGACGCCGCCCAACGGCGCCATTAGGCGACGTCCTCGATCGGCGGAGCGACACGACGCAGCGCTTTACCCTTCGCGCTAACGAGCGAGGCAAGCGCACGTGCACGCACGCACGCACGCCGTTCTTCGATGTGCTCTTTGGGTTTCCCCGCGTGTTGTTCGGCACGATGTCCGACGTTTCGCTCCACGATGCTGGGAGCTTCTTTGGTCAAGAAGAAGCTCGGAAGGACGTGGAGCGAAATGTCGGACATCGTGCCGAACAATACGTGGTGCAGTCATCCGAAAGTACATCAGAGTTAGTAAGTATGTCAATTAATAAATAGTTTTCCTGTCGTTTTTGGGGGGCCCACCCCTGAGCTTGGGACCCCGATCGAGAAGTCGAACTCCCTTTGTCCCCCAATCTTGTGAGGACCGCACGCACGCACGCAAGCACATGCGCACGGACGCAGGTGCAATCGCTCACAACAACAGCCACTGTTCACCACCAAGTGTCGGTGGCGTCACCACGGCGCTTGTGCACCTTGAGGCCGCGTGAAGTGTCGAAGGCTCGCTACTGACAGGAGGTGTTCCGAGTCAGCGGATTGAATTGACTCGCACACACACACCCACCCCAGTACACACACGCGCACGCACCTGTTAGGGATGCTGGAGAGGTCGATGTTGTCCCTGGTTCCCACATAAGGGACCACGACGACTCTCTCCAAGTCCGGCAAGCCTGCAGAGAAACACCCAAGGCACGCAGGGGATTGTGGCAAAATCATGCCTGACAGTGATCCTAAAAGAGCCGCGGCGATTAGCGCGATTGACAACGATTGATTCGGCGTTTTAATTTCCACTTGGGGCCATTTATATCTCCATTTGCGATGTTGGCGGTCGTTTAATAGACACGGCGTCACCTGAGATTGGTCTAATCAACCGGCTGTGTTACGTAGTAGGGGATGAAACGATGCATTAATTGACATCCCATCATTAAACTTATAATCAAATCATAATTATGTATACCTTCCGTGTCTTTGCCAATGAACGGAATGTTAATTTTTTTTTTTAAATTCACGGTTGCTGAGCAGAGGCTCGAAAATGCGAATCAGCCAGTAACAAAGAGCACGATTGAAGGTGTAAGAGACAATAGGAGTTCAGAAGTTTCTTGGAATTGAGCAACGTTGTCATAAGAACTTGGAGAAAAGAGACGATGGGAGGAGGGAATTCCAGAGTCAAGCAGTGCGAGGGAAGAAACGGAGAGAAAAAGTGTGATGGGGATGAAACTCGTAGACCGGGTCCTCAACATCGGCGGAGGAATCAATGAGTGAAATAATCTCGGTCAATTTTGGGGGGGGGGGGGGGGGGGGGGGGGGTGGGGGGGTGCGGGGAAGACGATTATAATGTAGTTTTTATCAAGATGATGATGATAATAGCAACAACAACAATAATAATAATCCCAGCGACGGTCACGCACCTCGCACCACGGACAGCAGCTTGCCCATGTGGTCGTGCGTCTTGCCGTTGTAGACCACGGCCTCGACCGAGAAGATGACCTTGGGCTGGATTTGCGAGAACCGGTCCAGGACTCCCTGCGGCAGGAAAACAACCGAACGTCGCGTCGGCATGGCGGTCACTCGGCCAAAGAGGGGGCGGGGGGGGGGGATGGCTTTACCACGTAATTTTATTTAACCAGGTGAGAAGTCATTGCAAACATGATGCCTTGAATAAAGGTGTCAGTTTTTGTGCCAGTTAAAAGGGTAAAACCTATTCCTATAACAGGTGAGAAGTCGTCAATTCATGAGACGGCGACGAGTCTCTTGTGCAAAGCCAGGCCTGGTGTGTTGCCAAAATGACAAGGTGCAATGAGATTTAAAAACCGAGGATGACAATGATGCAAGAAAGAAAAAAATCAAGAGTAAACAAAAAAACCCAAATCGAACGGAAATAATTTCTTTGCGGTGCGCAAGTATCAGTAACTATTAAATAAATATCATCCTGCAACCAAAGGGGGCTGGGGCAAATTACTTTAAAAAAAAATAAACGTTCAGATTAAAATGAATTACAGAAACGTCAATTAGATTAAGGGAGCTCATTGCGCAAACACACGAGGACATGTGTCGTATACAATCAGCCTCACATTGTTGTTCAGGTGGGAGGGTAACCATAGACAATTTGAAGCCCATGGAATTCCAATACGTCCTTGTTTGTCGCGATGGCGACACGCTGGCATAGCGCACGATACAATACGAGAGCCACGGTAATCGAGTCACCCGCGTTGCAAAGCATCGGTACATCTTGACCAAATCACCCGGGCAGTATCTGCTCCCATCAGACCTCGGAAGCGAAGCGGGTTTGAGCCTTGATAGTGCTTGAATGTGCGACCACAATACGAATTTCAGATAGGGCGTGGGAATAGCAGTTGTGGGCAGCAGGGGGCAGTGCAGAGAAATACAAAATTCTTCCGCTCCCCGTCCACCCCACACCATCACCAACTCACTCTGACCAGCGTGGTGAAGTATGGTCAGATAACCCTCGCGACTTGCGCGGTGTGGGGAGGCCCTTTATCAATCCACTGCTGGATGAAGGCTTCCTCCCCATACTGTGTCGGACATAGGGGACTGTTTGAACATACTTCAACAATTCTAGATTCCCCTGTATAGCCTTTAACAGACTGTTGGGGCATGTTCTGTTAGCGAGCACCTATGAAGGCCGCCCGGCCGCCTTTGTCTCTCTCTCAATACTGACGTTTACACACCACATAAGGCTGAGTCGACCTCGGAAGGGGGAGCAGAACCATTTCAGATATTCGTCACCGATGTTGGCCATGAACAGGAATCAAACTCAGGCTAACTGGATTCATAGCGCAGTGCTCTAACCACTGTGCCACAGCTACCACCCCACCCCCCCCCCCCTTGACCAACAACACTAAGCGGCGGTGACGTCACCGCGGCGATTGTGCCAGGCTCGGCGCGCGCAACGCTCACACGCGACGACGAGAGAGGGACAAGGGACGACGAGAGAGGGACAAGGGACGACGAGAGAGGGACAAGGCTCACGTTGGTGCCAAAGTCTGGGGACGTGGCGCTCCAGATGGCGCCGATGCTCGAAGCGGCCAGCATCGCCTCCACGGCCACCACGCAGTTAGGGAGGTATCCTGCGGTCGCGCAAACGTGGCAACGGGGGAACCGGGGGGCAAGCATACGTCACCAAACCTGGCTTCAGAATAGGAGCTCGCAACGATTTCCCCAACTATGGTTGAACGCGTTCGCGCATTAGTGCGGTCCGCCTTGTCTGTGACGGGTTGAGGGTTGCGGAGGGGGTGGTAACTCTCCTAGAGGTGATTCAGTGTGAATGAAACTTTGGTGTAAAGTTGTGTTCCTATTTGGGACTCGCCTACTGAAAACGGGCCAATTTGATTAAATGACCACGGCAGAAATTTTGGACAAAATTAGTGAAAGATCGAAATTTAATTCAATGATTTGTTTGGTGAACAGGCTGAGACCATCAATCACAAGTGACTGATACCCAGGATCATCGTGGTGCTAGTTAAGTGCTCTGACCTTTGAGTCACCTAGCCAACTCAGATTCAGTGACCAGCCAAGAGGTCAAAGCGACGATCTGACACCGCTGAGATCCAGGGTTTGAATCCAGGTTTGAGCCACCGCCTGTGGTTAAACCAGGGACTGAATCCAGCTTTCAGCCACCGCCTGTGGTTAAACCGGGGTTATCAAGCACAGTGAGATGACGGTCTCTCTCTCAGTCCGGTCACGAATGAATGCACGAAAATAAACCCACGACATAAAATTTTGGTTCTGCACCTTCATTTGACAAAATTTATATTTCTGAGAATTAAAAATATCGCTTTGATTGCCATACGACGAGAATTACCCTCTGTAGCAGGGCTGGTAGCGGCGGTAAAGTACTGCCCACAACTGCGAAGGTTAATTGAAGGGATCTCAGAGGTAGCTCAATGATTTTTTTTTTGCTTCAGCGGGTTATTATCTAACACGGAGGAGCTGCACTACTCTGCAAGAGTTCCAAAACAGATTTTTTCCATTTCATCTCATGATGCTGATCGCACGCATGGGATAACATTTGATTTTGTTTTGTTTTTTACAAAATATAGTATTTTATGAACATTATCATCACTTAAAACGTAAGAGGTCACCTAGAGCCACGACGGGAATAGTTACAAACGGTGACAATATCCCACCCCTAAAAGATGAAACCCTCTTCATCCTGCCAAATGGAAAAAAAGGAATCCCGGCGGAATGTGACGTTACAAAAGCCAGCAGGCAATGGATAGCACTGGGGGTTTGGGTGAAGGGGGTGGTGCTCTGGGGGCGGGGGGTGGGCAAGCGCTACCCGGAGCACGCGGGTGGCATCGCGCTGCCCACGCTCTGGCCACGGTGCAAACACGCGCGACACTCGTGGTGGCGTGTCGGGTGGGATGGGGAGGTATGCGCGAGCGTTGGCGCAAGCCGCTGGGACCTCCCGGGCCGACTGCACTGCCACATTCTAGTCAGGTCTGAACGCTTGCTGTCGCCAACTCTTACGAGTTCAGTAACGTTTGCGAAGAGTAGGGTGCCTTCCTTGTGAGGTTTGTGTTGTAGCGATGATAATGATGATGATGATGATAACATGCATGGCGTTATTCATTGTGTTTCCCGATAACAACAAACATTTTTCGTGAGATTTTAATCATATGCACGAATTTATTGTAGGGTGATGAGCATGCTCACGATCAAGAGTTATTTTGATGGATGGTGAAAAAAACAAGTTGACAGAGAAGCATGGGGAGATGCACGCTGGCAGCTTGTGCCAAGAAATAGGAAGGGGAGTTCGTTGATCGGGAAGAAACAATTATAGAGACATCACATTTGACGGTTAAAGAAAGGGAAATGGTCTTAGAAGGGTGATGAGCGAGACCGGTGACGGAATGGCAGCCAAAGGAGAAAACTGCACTTAAAGAGGATGACCACGACGGAGATGAAGCAAAGAGATCAGCTTGTGTGCAGGAGTGTAGATAAGATTGTGACATGACAGGACTGTGACAGCTCAGGGAGGCCTTTCTCCAGTAGTGGACTGATCCATTGCTGTTGATGATGAGGAAATCTTTACATCCTTAATTATCATTAAGATTGACAGATGATGACGAAATAACCATATCTCTAACAACGATATGTGACAGATAACGATTATGACGACAGATGAATGGCGAAATCAGTGCATCCCTAATCACAATAATGACGATTCATGAATGATGATGACGGCGATGAAGATAACATTACGTCCATAATTGTGACGACGATTGACGGATGATGATGATGATGCCGATGCTGCTGTGGGAATTGTACGACTATGTGGGTGACGAAGACGACTTGGCGAGTGCGTGCCGGTGACGAGGTAGACGAGGAGGTATCATACCGGCCACGCGGTCGCCCTTCCCGATGCCGAGTTTGCGCATGGCAGCGGCGTAGAGCGCCACGTCGCTCCGCAGCTCGCCGAACGTCACCTTGCTCACTTCCTCACCCCCCTCCACTGTAACGCACACAGACAAAGACAACCCGTATAGCCTTCACACACTTTCGGGGCAAGTTCTGTTTGGGTTCCAGGGTGGCGTGATGATACCTCGCCTGGTATACAGGAGGTTGTGGCTTTGATCCCGACCCCGACGCCTGTATATTTGGAGTTTGCATGATCTCCCTGTGGTCGTGTGGATTTTTCTCCGGGTCCTCCAGTTTTTCCTCCACATTTAGAAACGTGCGTTTAGATTATTTGGCTACTATAAATTTCCGCATGGTAAGCCACTTTGTTGAGCTATCATTTGTGGTTGGTCACTTATGAAAAATAACTATATGGTTCAGTGGCCCTTAACTGGTAAAATAAAAATAAATTTTAGTTAAAAGTTTTATGTTAGCAAGTAGCACCTATGAAGGCCACCACAGCACACAATGGGGTGGGTGGCCAGCACAACGCCCGGCCGCCTTTGTCTCCTCAAAGGCGACCAGGTACTCATTTGAGGCCGAGTCGACATTGAGGAGGCTCAGGACCGGTTCAAATACTCGCCACTGTTATTGGGTCACTGGGTTCATTGAGCAGTGTGCTAACCACTGCACTTCCTCTCCCCATAAGGCTGCACATCACAAACCCCCACACACAGGGTACAGAGCACCCACTTGTTATCAAGAGCTCGCTAAGAAGATGTTCACAAGTGCACTGGTGTCACACTTCTTCACGCTGTACAAAAATCAATAATGGCCCTTCACAAAGCACCCTGCGTGGCATAGGCACTGTCTGCGCGTGTGAGCTCTCTGCAAACAAGCAGCAATGCAAACAGTGCCAATGGCCATCGTCTCTAGCTTTTCTCGAGCCGATGGTTGGCCGCAAAATGGATTATCCTACGCCACAAGACGGTATTTTGTAGTCCTTCCCCCGCACCTCCAATTAACACGGTTGGCTACATACGGTGCGAAATAAGTTCTACATACATACATATATACATAGACACACACAGGACTCTGTCTTTGGCAGAAATCCCAAGCTTTTCAGGCTCGGCCTGCACCTCGCTTTCCTGGGACCGACCCTTGCTAAAGGCAATGAGATAAATATGAGTTACATACGTGCGCACACAAATGCCGTGTACAACCTTGCAGCGTTCCGTTTCACAATCCCACTCTAAGTGAATTTATTAGGGCTCTTGAGTAGTTTTATATGAAGTAATCGCAAGCCGCAAGGGAGTTAGGCGCGGCTATTGCCTTACCCCGTTAACTTGGCAGACTGTAGGTGGGGCGAAAACACAAGACTTTAGCCCCCCCCCCCCCCATTAAAAATCCATATATACATGGAGGTAGGAGAGCCAACTGACTTCATTTTGACAGACATATGTATATCATCAAGATATATGTATTATTGTCAAGCTGTGATTAAAATCACGAAAAAAACCGCTAAATAATTTAACTATAATTCAGCTCTAAGAATAAAAAAAATAGTGCTTTGACCGTCTGGAACGTTTCTCTCAGCAGCAGGGCGGGTGGTGAAGCGCTGCCCACTGCTGTGTGGGCTGGGGGTCACTCGGAAGGGAGCTCAGAAGTAGCTCTGTAATATCCAACTATGCTTGGTATCACAGCCAGGGCAGTGGTGGCTACGCACGTGGTCTGTAATCCAGTACACCGTGGAGGGGAGGGTTGGTGGATAGCGCCAAACGTTGGTCAAACTAACTTCCCGTTGCCGTTGAGGAAGTGCCATACCCTGGCTTGCCAGGAGAAGGCGGACCAGCAAAGTGCGGACTACGTCTTTCCCTTCTGTATGGGATAAAGTGTTGCCCCCTTGGTAAGCGTGACTTTTCTCCCGGTGCTCCAGTTTCCTCATTAATTTGCCGAAAAACATCCTGATATGTAGAGACCCACAGAGCTTGGGCGGTTATTAGTATCGCCGGCTCACTGCTTGGCTCCGGCCTTGCAGCTCGTCTGTGGTTGCTCGGGGAATGCGAGATTCAATTTGCACGATCGACGATGACGCTAGATTTTATAAAAAAAACAACTATAAAAAAAACACAGATCGTGTCCTAACATGAAGGGTTGCACTTCTCTGCGAGAGTTCCCTATTGATTCTTTGTCTTGTGACATGGCAACAATAGCACATCTGGGATAATATTGTGGGGTGGTGGGGGGGATTGAAAAAAAACGTGAGATACCGGAGCCGAAGGGGTAGACAAAAATAATCTAAATAATCCTTGCCAGGGATGTGACCCCGTGTCAAGCGCCCCCCCCCTTTGTAGCAGTGAGCCAGTCTCCCAAAACATATAAAGACTGACGGCGCTGTCGCTTGCCACGTGACATGTGAAAAGAAGAGATTAAAAAGTTGACGTGATTGCTAAATATACGTTTTACCGTCTTAATACCGGAGGTTATTTGTAAAGCTCTTATACTGATCCTATAATAATTAAAACTTTAAAAGGCACGAATGGCCACCGCATTGAAAACATAAGTTATAACTGTGCCGCAAACTCAGGGCAAGAAAACGCGCTAGTCAGAGCTCAACTTTGCGCATTCTCTCCTCCAAACTTTCAAAAATTCTGGCCGCATAGCGCAGCTTGAGTAATTTTATTCGGAAGCAACAACTGCGATTTTTCCATTTTAATGCCAGCCCAAGCTGCGCCATTTGCGGTCCCGTTGCCAGCAAGTGCTCTCCCAAACAGATGGCGGCAGAGGCCCCCCCCCATTCCTCCCAACCACCCCCACCCATACTACACGCCCCCCACCACCCGCCACCACCCACCACCACCCACCACCATCTCCTCTCGGGACAAGCACAGCGGTGTTGGTGGTGTCGGTGGGTCAAGACAGGAACATTTTTACGAATGATTTATCATTATTCTTGGGCAGCTATGTAACGTACACATCGAGCTGCCGTTGCTGCCACCGCCGCTAAACAGCGCGCTCCGTGCGCGACAAGGCACACGATAGGGCCACTGTTCTGCTATAGGATTACGCAATCAGATTTACCCGGCGTCTCTATAAAACGGCCGTCGGGGAAAATGCCCACTGATATAACGCTCGCCGGAGGTGAACTTTTATCCGAAACGCCACGGATTCGCAGCTGCGATACCTGGCGGCCCGTACTCATTAAGGCGTACGATTCGTTTTTCAAATTCGGTACGGGGTTGGAGAGGGCTTCAATATTTGGCAGCCGACTGTGTAAATCACAAAGGGCTGGCAGATATCACAGCCCTGGATGCACACCCACGCTCACCAGCGTGGTGAAGTACGGTCAAATAACCTCCCAACCCCCAAAACCACACAAGAAATGTGGGAGGGGGGGTTTGGGGCAGACCTGGGGTCAATTACAATTGTCCCTGGGTCATTTGTAATTAATTACAATCGAAGCGTTATTTGTATTATTTCAGATAACAATACAATACTGCTGTAGATCCAATTATCATTGTCCTCTCGGCCTGGTGGGGAGGCCCTCATCCAGGAGTTGATTGACAGAAGGAGTGTACATGTACGCGGGGGAGTTTGCTGCAAACCAGAAAGTCCATCTCTTTGCAGTCCTTTAACCTGGCCAGGTGGCTCAGCGGTAGAGCGAGCGGCTCGCAACCCTCAGCCTACGAGTTAAAATCCTGGATGTGGTGGTGGTGGTGGTGGGGGGGGGAAGTCCAGTAAGGTTGTCCCCGAAGGATAGACTCGCCCCCATCATAGGAACGAGGAATTCCCATCGCTGGCTCAGGGCAGTAAAACAGGTGATGACCACCTTCTCTCGCAACGCTCGTTTGAACAGGAGGGTCACTTTTTGATTCGATTGCGCAGCGTTTCCTGAAGGGCCATTTCTTGGAAATTCCTGCGGCGTCACGAGCTGAAGCCTTGGCAGCTCAATGGCATTTGCATTCCTCTGCGTCACGATTTAACGCCTCGGGGGCAATTGGAGGCTAATTGAAATCAATGCACGCTAATTAGGACACCGGGTGATGTGCAGAAGGCTGTATAGTAAAATGTATATGGTATCGAGGCCGCAGCATTTTTAAGACTGTCCGCTTGACAGGAAAGTTTGCATGGTCCAGGACTAAAAGTCGACGTTTCATTTGAGATGGCTGGATGTATAAACACTCATGCATGAAGCGATCGAAGGAAAAAAATAATGAGAGGGAGAAGACCAGGTTTGGAAATGTGGAGCAGTGGACTAGATTAACACTACCCGAGCTACTGTTGCAGTAGTCCCGAGACCACACCTGTTGGAGGATACCGACAGTTCAATCATCCTGAACGGCACCCTGACAATCGAAATCGGTCATGGGAATAGTAGTAGCAGTAGTCATGGAGTGGGCCAAACAACCCAATATAGGACCACAGAGCTTGGGAAATAGCTTGTGCAGGTTCTGCCCACCTCACCCGCTCACCTGTGGTTTTTGCGCCCTCTCCCGAATCGAGGCAAAAACTGCGCGGTGCGTTACAGACGCGCGAATTTATAATTTCAGCGAAACACGGCAAAGAGCTCTCGACGCGAACCCGACGTTGCCGACGTGAGACCCCCCCCCCCCATGTGCCGACCTGCGGCGTAGAGCGCCACCTTCTCCGCGTCCCCGCGATGCAGAAGGTTCTCGGCAAAGTTGAGGCGGCTCCCGCGGAACCACTCGGGCACGTCGGCGATCGTCTTGCTCGTGTCCACCACCTGCGGGGGAGAACGCGGTGGGGATGGGCCATACACGGTGCGGGTGAGGCAAGTAGATCACGTGGTACAGGTGAGGCAGGTGGGTCACATGGGACAGGTGAGGAATGTGGGTCACATGGGACAGTTGAGGCATGTAGGTCACGTTGTACGGGTGAGGCGTATGGGTCATATAGTATAGGTGAGGCAGGTGCAGGTGATGCAAATGAGTCTCATGGCACAGGTGAGGCAGATACAGGTGGGGCCATTATTTGACGCAATTGGTGCACTGTTCACTGTGAGAGTACCGAATGGAATTTTTTTGTGGAGTTCTTGGCGACTGGGCTGAGATCATAAACTTGTTCCTACCCTTGCGAAACTCTCTTTCATCAATGTTTGGGCAGCTGACAGCTGGATCTGAACTCGGACATCCTGAGCCACCTGACAACCTCACAAGGATAAAGCCACTTAAACTAATGACCATCAGCCATAATTCTGAGCAACATAGTGTGGTTTCGTTTGTGGAGTATGTGTCAGGAAGATTCAGCTTATAAATATTTCCCAAGCCAGGCCGGTTACTGTCATCATGTAGAGTGCACTGACAAGGCATTCCTACAAATCACAGTGTTTTTTAAATATAAAAAGCACATTCTTCAAACAGACATGAAGACAGATCAGGTTATAAACAAAAGCAGGATCACCACGAGTTGAGAATATCTTTCAACATAACCACTGTCATAATAATCACAGAAATGTAATTATGCCAGGACTGACTACGAGTCTCAAGACTCTTTTTCAGGAAGGTTCTTCCGCGTTGGGATGTCTGTGCCAATTCCAATGATGAGTGTTTGGAATGTGGCAGGAAACTCGTCTCCCGCACCTCCGATTAGCACGGTTGGATATATGTAACGTGCTAAAGAAATTAAACATACATCATCATCAGCCATGATCAGTCCATTGCTGTATAAAGGGCTACTCAATTTGCCACAATCTCTCACAAGAACCTGTGATATAATAATCTTAAATCAGAGTACCCGGAGGATACCCACCACAAATGCAAGAGGTGGACGCTTAACACTGCCATCTCCGAGCCAACTTGCAGCTCAAGCCTATACCATCTGGTATTCCCAGGCATCCTCAAATCCACGTACTCAACCGTGGCTAACATAAGTTTGGCAGTCCTGGGAACCTCCCCTTCACCATCCGTACTGCCCAGCGTGGCGAAGTATGGTCAAACAATCCCCACAGCCAACACGGCATGCGTGAGGGAAGCCTTCATCAAGCAGTGGATTGAACAAAGCGCAGTAAATAATGCAGCGCCACTAAAACATTCTAAAATGATGTTTGTGGAATAAACATAATAATTATTAACGTTTGTATGTATTCATGTTGAACTTATTTTGCAGCCTTCACGAAATGACAGCTGATGACAGTGGGGACGACGGTGATGACAATGGAAGGGTGAGTCCAAGAAAAAACAAACAAAAAAAACTAAAAACACCACGTTTGTTTGACAGGCACTTTGGCATTTTCACTGGCGTCTCAAACGTCACACTGCCTAAATTACTCGCAAACAAACCAAAAATATCTGGCCCCGAGGCTCAGAACAGGATTTCAAAGAGCACACCACCCAGTCTTACGCTAAAAAGCACACGTCAGATTTAACTTAAGCGCCGCACCCTTTGTTGCCACGTCACGCACAAACATTTCGATGTTCAGGAACGTACGAGAGCCAGCATTGCTGAGAGGCTGGGTTCGAATCCAGGTGCCCTTTAAAATCAAAACCGGGTTCTCAAGTGTGGTGAGTTAATGATCTCAGGCCGCTCACTAATGATTGATGTTGAGCGATTAACTTTCATAAACCGAGTTGTGGGTTCAACCAGGTTCTCAAGTGGGCACCACGGTGGCGAGATGTTGACTACCTCGCCTGGTTTACAGGAGGTCGTGGGTTCGATCCCGACCCTGACGCCTGTATATTTGGAGTTTGCATTTTCTCCCTGTGGTCGCATGCATTTTTCTCTGGGTATTCCATTTTTTCTTCAACACATTTAGAAACGTGCATTTAAAGTATTTGGCTGCTATAAATTTCCACGTGATAAGCCACTTCGTTGGGCTATACTTTTTTGCCAGGTCGTTACTGAAAAAGAGCTGTAATAGCTCAGTGGGCCTTATAGTTTGGTTTAGTAAAGCATTGATGCTCTTAACCCAGTCATCAATTACTGACGGAGACCCACAGACCAATATATTAATATAGAGACCCAAAGACTTACACGAATTGCATTACAATTGAACTGAGTTCTCAAGTGCAAGGAGTTGATGGTCTTAACAACCCAGTCACCAATGACTTACATACAGATCCATAGACTTACAGAGATACATATATATTTAGATAAAACCCCATAACAACTCAGATAAACTGAGTCGCTTTAAAACAGGTTTCTCAAGTGTAATGAGTCAATGGTCTCAGCCCGGTCAGGTCAGCAATGACTGCACAAAAAAGACCCAAAACGTTACATTTGGTTAAGCACTTAAATTTGCTAAATTCAAGCTCTTGCACGGTGGACATGATTCGTACTATGTGAGGATCTGAGGTCACTAGAAGGGATCTGAAAGAGGTAGCTCTGTGATATCTGCTTCCACGGGCCGTTTCAATGCTAATATGAGAGTCCTGAGTGGATACTTCGTCATGTGATGTGATGCCGATAGCACAATCAGGTTAAAATTGTGGATAATATGGAAGGAAAAACCACACAGATGCATGGCTCCTGTAACGCTTCCAAACATGCATTTGCCCTTGGAATACTTCTCAACCACCCCGCCGTTATTCTAAATAAGTGTTGATTATGTTAAGTTCAAAGCTGCACGGTGAAATTACGTCACAAGCAATGAGGTCATGGCCTTGGCCAACAAGGTGAAACCTTTCAGCTTTTTTTTCATGCCAAGTTTTGACAAATACTTTTATCAATTTGGCCATGTTTCTACACAGAGAGTCCCGGTCTTCAACACAAACTTTGGCCGTGACATTTTGCTCATATCTAATCGTCTTCACGAGCCATCTTGGGCCCCCTCCACGTTCCGTTTACAGATCAGACAGGAGCATAAAGCCCAACACAATTATCGCTTCCAACCCGAGTCAGAAAGCGTCAAGCAGCACGCAGTGAACGATGCCTTGGATGCAAGGCCACCCCGCGGCACAGCACTCACCTCGTCATACGGCACAGAATGCACCATGCCGCTGAACTTCCAGAACACCCCCCCAGAATTCAGCGTAATTCTCCACCGACCACTGGTGCAGCTCGGCGTAATTGGCTGCAAGACACGAGCAAGGGGAGAGGCGTTAACACGGGTCACTGAAGCCAAGGCCTATTTAGGTCAGTGCCAAGTCGACTTTTTGTCATTGTAAACAAATCAGTAATAATAAAAGTGGTAACTAAAGCATAGCTCTCACTTCAACTGTGTGTCACTCTACTGCTATGCCTTTTATGCACTGTGAAAAAAGGACCATTTTCTAAAATGTCGCCAATTCTTCTTATTTCTATGGCCACGGTATTAATACTGCACCGCACACTGCACAGCATAAGAACGTGCAGTATACAGGTACTCCGACGTGTTTTCGGGTGCAGTTCGGCAGGATGTCTGACGTTTATCTCCACGTCCTGGGAGTCTCTGCAGGAAAATTAATTCGTTGGACATCAGGCCTGACACCGCACGATACAAACTTGAAAACACATCAGAGTTGTACCGGCACAACCCACGAAAATTATATGCAGCGGCGCGCTATGGTACACGCTTAGATGAATAGAGTGTGTGACAGAGCCCGATGGTAAAGCGTGAACATTTCCTTGAAATAGGCTCCGACTGAAGCAACACAATGCCTCAAAAGGAAAATTATTAATTGCTGCACGCGGAGAAAAATGCATTATCATCTAATAATCTATGTTGGGTTAAAACAAACAAAAAAATCTATTACCGGCTGTAATTATCCAGCCTCATTACCACCCACGAATTGCTTGAGAACAAAATCTTCACATTTCACAAACACCTGCCAATACGTTTGTCCGACTGTCTCATGATAACGCATGGCTGCTCCCCCCACACAACAGCCTGGCAAGTGTGACCACTCCTTGACCCTTCCACACCCCCCTCCTCACCTCCACTCGTGCCAGAGATCTCGTGGACGCGTTACAGCACATTTTTCAACCACCCACTCCAGGCAACAGCTTCCTTTTTGCCCCCCCCCTTCCCTGAGCCTCCACCCTCCCACACTGTGGTGCCATCATCCTCTCGCCTCTGCTGTTCCCACACCCTTCCCCACACTTAAAGGCCCCCTCCAGCCAAATATCCCCTCTGGCTGAGCCCCCTCCCACCAAAATATCCCCTACTGCGCACCCCCACCCCGACGCGCATGCCCGTGATGTTGTGCAATGACCTCTCCTTCCGAACTCACCCGCCACGCAAATGCATTTGCCGCCTTCCCCCCAATCTCCCTTCTTGTCCCCCCCCCCACCCTTCCCCTCCCCCACAGCCCCCCCGTGGTCAGTTGCACGGTCACCCCCCCTCCCGCAACCCCCCCACCGCAACCCCCACATTCGCGAGCTCCCCACACCCCCCACACAGCCACGAACCCCTCAGCCGCTCGAATACCCCCACAGCCCTTGCAAGACCACTTCTTATGGAGCCCCCCCGCCCACCCTTCCAAGGCCCGTGCACGATAACCCCCCACCAGCCCCCCACTGCCCGTGGTCTCCTGCACGGCCACCCTCCCCCTTAACCTCCCCAGACACTCACCTTTCTCAGCACCCCCCCCCCCATGACCCCGTACTTCCCCCCAGCCCCCACCGCTCCCCTCCACAACCCCGCCCCCCACAACCCCGCCCCCCACTGCCCTTCCCCCTAGCCCCCCACCATAACCCTGCTGCCCCCAACGCCCGTCTCTCCCTCCACAACCCCGCCCCTCCCTCCACAACCCCGCACCTCCCCCCACAACCCCCGCCCCCTCCCCCCACAACCCCACCCCTTCCCCCCCCCAGGCCCTCCCCCCAACCCCGAAATTCCCCCACAGCCCCCACAACCCCGCCCCTTCCCCCCCCCGCCCCCCATAACCCCGAAATCCCCCCCCCAGCCCCCATCTCTCCCCTCCACAACCCCGCCCCTTCCCCCCCAGCCCCTCCCCCCATAACCCCGAAATCCCCCCCCCAGCCCCCCCCTCTCCCCTCCACACCCCCGCCCCTTCCCCCCCAGCCCCTCCATAACCCCGCAATTCCCCCCCCCCAGCCCCCACCTATCCCCCTACAGCCCCGCCCCTTCCCCCCTAAGCCCCGCCCCCCCACTTACCCCCCCTCCCCCCAAGCTCCCCCCTCCCCCACCGCACCCAGGCGCGTGCCCGTGGTGTCCTGCACGACGGCGCGGAATCGGTCCATGTGCGTGGGCGCGCGCTTCGGGTCCGGCTTCCACATGACGCGCGCCTCCTCCTCCTCCTCCTCGTGCGTCTCCTTGTCCATGATCAGAGCCATCGCCCGAGCCTCGCTCCTTTCAGTGACGGCGGGAAAACTCCTCCTGGATAAGCCAAAACGGAGGCTGTTGGAAAATTTGCTCGCTAAATGATATTCACGAGAACGTGTCAAACTAGAAAGACAAAAACAACAACAACCCGCCCCCCCCCCCCCCCCCGATGCAATTATATTAAAAAGAGGTTTTTGTTCGTTGTTTTTTTTTTCCTGCGGAGAAAAAAGTTGCCGCAATTACAACAACAACAACCAAAAAAAAACCGCCCAATGCGAAATGTAGTCGACTGATTTTTAAATTGAATCGCACGGCGAAATCATTAAATTAATAAGTAACACGCGAAATTAGCCGACCGCCTCACAACCCTCGCTGCCGAGCCGGCCGCCGAGCACAACGGTGTATCCGCGCGCGACGAGTAAAATAATCCGGGCGTCGCGAGCGAACGCGCACAAATTTGTTTTAACAAAAAAAAATTACGCGCAACGGATTGCAATCATTCGGCACCTCCCTTCCCCTCCCCTTCCCCTTCGCGTCGCTCAACGAACCGGGCGAGCGCGTCAGCAGCCAGCGAGAGGTGAGGGTGAGAGAGAGAGAGCGAAGCAGCGAACAGCTCCGCGGCCCGACGGCGAAGGTAGTGCCGGGCGTGCGCTTTGGAGTCGGGGTTTTGACAGCGCGGAGGCCGCGGACGCGCAACACCACCCCAGCGACGCGCCACCGCGGCGCCGCGCGCCCATTGGCTCGTCTGGGCGTGACGTCACGTGGGCTGAGGCGTGACGTGGGGCCGCGCGCGAGTACTCCCGGTTCGCGCCCTTTTTTTTGTGGTGCCTCTCTCCCGCTGGAAGGGGTGGGGGGAGGGATTGGAGGGCTGAGGAGGGGAGGGGGGATGAGGAGGGGGCGGGGGTGAGGGGAGGGGGATGAGGGGGAGGGGGGAAAGGGAGAGGGGGGATGAGGGGAGGAGGGGGAGGGAGAGGGGGCGAGGGGAGGGGGGATGAGGGGGAGAGGGGATGAGGGGAGGGGAATGAGGGGAGGGGGAATGAGGGGAGGGGGAATGAGGGAGAGGGGGAATGAGGGGAGGGGGGAAAGGGGGAGGGGGGATGAGGAGGGGGAGGGAATGAGGAGGGAGAGGGGGGTGAGGGGAGGGGGGTGAGGGGAGGGGGGGTGAGGAGGGGGGATGAGGAGGGAGAGGGGGGTGAGGGGAGGGGGGATGAGGGGAGGGGGGATGAGATATTTGATTGGTTATCTCACTCGAGTGAATGTCAATGCTGCCCCACAACACACCCCACCCCTCCCCTCAATTACATGTAATTTGAATGCAGATCGAGTTAATTAACAATTGCATAAATAATAAAACGGGACACATTAGTCAATAACACTGTGGCCTTAAAAGAAAAAAAAATATATAACAAATGACGTTTCGGGTAATGATGGCCCTTCATTGCACAGAGGACAGAGAGATGAGTGAATAATGAGTTTATGGCTGCACTCTATTAACCACGCTATCTATTCTGGCCTCGCTGAGTGCTATGAAAAAGGGCCATTGCCCGAAACGTTAGCTATTATTTATTTGTTTATTTTCGGGCCACTGTTATTGACGAATGTGTTGGCTTTGTTTTGCCAATTGTGCTTCTGCCAACGCAGCAGCAACAGCAACATCACCCAATAATTCATAACATAAAATTACCAACAAACAAGTTAAAGCTGCGTGGCACGTTAACCCCGCTTAAACCCACGCCACGATGAAGGAACATGGCTCATTTATATACAGGAACGTGAGGAAATGGTCCCCTCGTGAGGGGATGGCCTTTCAGATTCATAGAGGCCCGTTTAACCATCTGAGTCAACATACATGTTGCAGGAGGAACATGTTACAGCAGTTTTAAATATAAATCAGATTAACACTGCAATAAACAAACAAGCGAATGGCACATTTACAAAAAAAAAACATAGTCCATGCAAAATGGGAGACTGAATCTTGGAGTTTCCTCAGCCACTAAACTTGTATAACCTTAACAGGAGTAAATGTTTTAACAGTATTTAAAATTTCGATTTAAAGCTTTCGTGGCCTGCAGGGATTCATATTCTTGGTTCTTTCGGCAAAGTAACGTAGAAGGGAAATAATAAAATATTTATTTCATAATAAAATAATTGCTTCCCTTCTACGTGACTTTATCGAAAGAACCAAGAATAGTAAATAAAATGTAAAACGGTTTAACAACGAAACGGTTTAACAACGAATAAACACTCCGTGACTTTTAAACAAAATCCAGTTTGTTCGGATTTTTATGCAAACTGTATAATATTACCCAATAGAACCAAAGAGTATGTATAATATGTTGTTACTAATACAGTACATAGATTAGGGTGGCGGTGAAATATATCAGCCAGGTATCTCTCAATTACTGACTACATTTTAATTAAGTCGTTGATTGACTACTGCTACATAAATTAATATGTTTACAAAGGTGAAGCGTTTTACAACACGTTGGCTCTTATCGATGTCCCAATTGTTTCCTATTTAACTGGGCCACTTTTGCATTGCACCTGCACGTACTATGCAGGGCTTGTAGCTTTATAAACTATCACTTATTGTAGATCTAACTAGACCACTCGATTTTGTTTTACGGGTTTTATCCGAGTGAATCTCTGGCATTTTAAGAACAAATACGTAACTGTTGGTAATTCAACCATTGTGAAAATACAGTGAACGTGACTACATGAATAAAATGTACCTTTACATGCTTCAAGGAAATTATTTACGTGTAAAAAAACTCATCTACATAGAACTCCACCGGAAGCATATAAAGTCCTTTTTTAATCCTCGAAGGTAGAGTATTAAATCAAATTTACAACCTGTTGTCAATGCACTCCCAGTCAACATGCCAACGTTGGTTGGCATGTGGTAGGCTCAAGGATGGCCTAACGTCGGCATGTGGTTGGCCTAAGGATGGCCTAATGTCGGCCTGTGGTTGGCCCAAGGATGGCCTAACGTCGGCCTGTGGTTGGCCCAAGGATGGCCTAACGTTGGCCTGTGGTTGGCCCAAGGATGGCCTAACGTTGACATGTGGTTGGCCCAAGGATGGCCTAACGTCAGCCTGTGGTTGGCCCAAGGATGGCCTAACGTTGGCATGTGGTTGGCCCAAGGATGGCCTAACGTTGACATGTGGTTGACCCAAGGATGGCCTAACGCTGACATGTGGTTGACCCAAGGGTGGCCTAACGTCGGCATGTGGTTGGCCCAAGGATGGCCTAACGTTGACATGTGGTAGGCTCAAGGATGGCCACACGTTGGCCTGTGGTTGGCCCAAGGATGGCCTAACGTCGGCATGTGGTTGGCCTAAGGATGGCCTAACGTTGGAATGTGCTTGGCCCAAGGATGGCCTAACGTTGACATGTGGTTGGCCTAAGGATGGCCTAACGTCGGACTGTGGTTGGCCCAAGGATGGCCTAACGTCGGCCTGTGGTTGGCCCAAGGATGGCCTAACGTCGGCCTGTGGTTGGCCCACCACTGAGGCTATAGCCATGGCCGGGAATCGAATTCAGGTTGGCTGGTTCAGTGTGCTAATCACTGTGGCACTGCTCTCCCCCCCACACCATACTTGTAAAGCTACGATGTAACTTAATAAATATGACGTTGTGAATTTCTGTTTAATAAGAGGCCATTAGCTGATTGAATGACGGCCATTTATATTCATCAGGATTAACACAAGGTCACGAAGCACGTTCGCATAGAGGACACTATTCTTGTCAGGAGTTTTATTTTACAGATTACAACACAAGCTGTATTTGTCCATGGCTATTCAACTGTTGGTGCTGAGCGTAATGCTTACATATCTGTAAAACGCAATACTTTACAGTAGTTATGATAATAAATTATATTAGATTGCATCAGTATGCTGTTGTCAGTCCATTGCTGTGTGAGGGCCCTCCTCCACGTGATGGCTAAACTGGTCCAAGGCCCATCCGAATTCGGCAAAACCCGCACGAACTAGCGTGGTGAAGTATGGTCAGTCAACCCACATGACCAGCAAAGCCAGACGTAACCGCGTCGTGACGGGCACGGGAGCGATTTCGTACGTCCAATTGGCGCTTACCAAATACCTAAAGTGTCTCTTTCAATTAAACATTTACCTCGTGTACGCAGGGGTGGTCCAGATGTCTTGTGATCCCCATTTAATCCTCTAAAACGTAAAATATTTTTTAAAGTAAGGTTTTTTGAAATAACAGAAATGAATATGCAAAGGGTTTTTTTAGGGGTCAATTAATTGGGGGTAACAAGACATATGGATCACCCTTTATATCCTGTCTAGGTGTCTCATAGAAAAATACATTTAATAGATTTCAAAACTTTTTGAGAGGGTTTTGAGTCAACGCCTGGTGTATTTTTTGTTTTAATGGGCTCTGCTGACCAGCATGGTGAAGTATGGTCCGGCAACCCCCGTTATCGACGTGACGTTTGGAGGGCTTCATCCAGTAGTGGGTTGACAAAGGACTGGTAAATAATATTATTATTAATATTTCGTTCGGTTTATCTTCAGCCAAATCACACTGCTCGGGTATGTACCTGTATATTAATTCCTTTCATTATGCTCTGAAAGACACGTTCAGCGATGACCCACGTCACCTGGGATGCGCCCGATGCCGTCAGAACTCAGAAGCTCAGCCTTCAGGCTGGTGAGCCCTTGTGAGAATCAAATGTTGTGCAATGCTTCTATGTTCCCACGTCTTTGCTCCACACCTTCACCAACCCGCACTGGTGCAGCGTGGTTAAAATAATCCCCATAAACCGGCATGGCGTGGGGCGACTCTCATCCAACAGTGGAATGACAAAGGTTTGCTCACGCAATGACAAAGATCCCCCTATTCCCCCGTATAGCCTTAGCAGACTGTTGGAGCAAGTGCTGGTAGGAAGCACCTAGGAAGGCCGGTACGGCACACGAGAGGGGGGAGGGGGGTGGTGGCCAGCCAGCACCACGCCCGGCCGCACCAGGTACTCATTTGAGGCCGAGTCGATGGAGGGGAGGCCCAGAACCGGCTCAGAAAATCTTCACTCTGGTGTGTTGGCCGTGACAGTGGGAATCGAACTCGGGTCGCCGGATGCGTAGTGCAGCGCGCTCACCGCTCCCCCGACTCACACACAGGCGTGCAGTTTGCCTACTGAAGGTGCGTGGTCTGAAGGTAAGGCACCTTGACAACACAAACAAGAAGAACGTCCAGCGACGAACACATACACACGCCCCGACTGCCACCGTTGCGTTGTCGCTGTCGCTAGAGAAAGCGTCGCCAAAACCCCCTTTATCCTGAGCCAGGCGAACAACCGATAAAACAATTCACCATTAACGTCCTCCATCATCTCGCCCATGCTCGATCCACCGCTGTATCAAGGCCTCCTGAGCCGCCGTCACCACTCCCGATCGTGCGATTTAAGGGTCTACCCAGCGGTTGCACAAAATCGACCAGGCGGCTTAGAGCCGCTGGTGTGTGTGTGTGAGGGGGTGTTGACATTGCAACTCGGGAGACAAAGGCGGCCGGGTGTGGTGCTGGCCACCCACCCCCCTTATGTGCCGTGCCGGCCTTCATGTGTGCCGTGCCGGCCTTCATGTGTGCCGTGCCGGCCTTCATGTGTGCCGTGCCGGCCTTCATGTGTGCCGTGCCGGCCTTCATGTGTGCCGTGCCGGCCTTCATGTGTGCCGTGCCGGCCTTCATGTGTGCCGTGCCGGCCTTCATGTGTGCCGTGCCGGCCTTCATGTGTGCCGT